GTGATGGAGAAGACTTAAGACCCTTTAATATATTCTCTTGCCATTGCAGTATTATTGTGTTTCTCACATATAGCATGTATCTTTTTCCAAAAACCAGTTGCTGGAAATTGTAGTGCACCTTATATGTAAGAAATATGGTAAGAGCAGTTTCTGTCTTATAGCTAGGGATCTCCATAAATTGTGCCAGAAGTGCCCCCCTGCAGTAACTCCTTTAATGTTTTTCATTTCGCCACTTGCCCCCCCCCGATGGGTGGAGGGGCCCTGCCTGCTGGGCCATTTGCTGCAGATCACTGGGAAAGCAAAAACTGCAGCATGTTTAAAACCTCCACCAATCGAGCAGGAGGGGAGGGGGAGAGGACAAGCAGCAAAATGAAAAACTTTAAACGATCTGTTGCAGGGGGGACTTCTGGCATGATTTACTGAGATCCCGAGTTACAGGCCAAAAATGAAAGTAACCTTTGCATGGGACTCTCAGGGAGCAGAACACGGAGCAGACTTGGCTCCCTAACTGCTGCTGCTCAGTTACTTACTACAAGCAAAGATCTTTTTTCCTTCATTCTGCCTTTCAAAAACAAATGTGCATTTTTGCAGAATGTTGTATCTGAGAAAATACAGTATTTCTCTACTAGCCTACACTGTACCTTCAAATATTTTGTGCAGTCTAATTTTGAATGTCTCAAATGGTATTCTTAAATTGGCATATTATTGTATCGACTACTAAATCTCACACTAAGAATATTTTCTCTAATATTTAGGAGTAGTAATATCACAGGCATACCTAGAAGCCCCAACTAAGAATTACATAGACATAATAAGAGACTGGACTCCACTTCTGAAAGCATCTATGCAGATGGTTAGCTTTAAGTACATGAGGAATCTCACTGCTTTCAGGGGGGTTTTTTCATCTACATACGGTTAAGTATTTGGCAGGAACAGGGCCTAAATGAATTGCCAAAGTTATATTTCTCAGGACCCCAATCAACACAACCACACAACCAACCTCCCTATCAACTAAGTTTTCCTCTACTTAAGTAGAAGCAGTAAGATGTAGTTCTTGTGCCCATTGTGTTATATACCTCCTTAAAAATTATCTTCCTAGTGCTTCACATATATATCTAAATTGAGTTGAATTGCTTTTCAATTTAACTCTAGCACATTTTTTCTCAACATTAACAAAACCCAATTAACAGACTAGGGAATTAAACAAGAACAAATGTTCCCTTCCTTTCAAACTTTTAACATTCATGAAGATACCATTAATAAGTGAACACTGTCTGGTGTTCTGTTTCTTTTGTTTAGTTTATTGGTGCTGAGAAACCTTCTTGTTGATTTATTTATGCTTGTATCTTATTTCTGTATTCAATTTCAAAGATGAAGTAAAGACAAATAAATAGCCAGACAACAGTTAACAGACTAAAGCTACCAATCTTCTACCCAGCGGGGGCGGGGAAAACAACAAAATTGTGTATGAATACAAACTTTTCTTACTTTTCCAGTTTGGTTATATTCAATATACCCTAACTCCGGCATGGGCTGTATAATAGTCCATGCATGATGAGTTCTAGGGGGCTTTAAACAAACTACTGTTCTAGGGCCCTAGGATTCCAATTTATTATGGTAATTAGAATTAATAATATTGTTAAATGAGTTCAATCCTT